GGTGTTTTTTAAGTATACCTGGAACCCACTTGAAAAATAGTGTAAGCTCTGATGTAATTGTAGCTTTGTACACAATCTTTGAGTTAGGTTTACTTGATGACACCACTGCACTGTACATATGGTTTGCATTTGTCACACTGTAAGGCTTAATTTAAAATTGAATCTTTGTAGTGGTACAGAAAGAATAAATGCTTTTGAACCCAACACAAGCTTCAGGTCTTTTTTTCTTGCACTGTAATGATTCACCAATGGAGGGCAGTGTTGTAGTTGTTGCTCCTAACAAATAAGGATGATGGAGATGAAATGAGGAGAAATACTCACTATTTTTAGAAAGCCTTGATTAATATTAGAATAATGCAAAATAGGGCTGATAATAAGTGTATTGTTGCCTCTGAAGCTCATCTCCTTTGCACATATCCTTAGTTAAACCTCCACAGTTCTGAAAAAAACACAGCAGGGGTTATCACAGTAAACACAATTCTGCTTCTTAGTTTAAACACAGACCATGCCCAAACCTTTACCGTCAGCTAACTAACAAGCCTTAATCCATTTGTTTCCTTATTTATTGTTAATATTTTTTTTATTGTCGTGGGGGTTTAAGGTCATAGCAGACCACCTGAGGGATCGCAGACAGCATCTGTAGACCCATCAGCCTCCATTATCGTGTGGTGATTTGACACGGAGCACTAGCAGACAGCAGCAATGATTCACCAAGGTTTTCCTCTGAAGGGGAAAAGATGTCAAGTTTTTAGTTTGCTCTTATGTGAGTGTGTATGTGTGTGTGTCTTTTTTTCCTCCACCGCATCATCAACCCTGTCCACCAGCATAACACACGCACACAAACATGGGCTATCAGCAGCGCTGCAGGCTCACAGCTGCAATGACAACTCATCACACCAACATTAGCACCAACAAAGGCCACGGGGAATACAAGTAAAGACTTTATGACGTATATGTATTGACACTGTATCAGCCCTGATAGGCCCACAAGGTGTCTGGCAAGGGTCTGGGTCTGTCTTCTTTGTTTATCAGGCATGCTCAATTTAACACCATTGTAAATACATTTCAGTGAACTGAAAGGCAGGAAGTCAGCTACACTAAATATTTGGTTTTATGGATTTATGAGTTTTTATGGTCTTCAGCCTCATCCCGGGAGATTAGACATTTAGTTCTTATCAAGAGAAGTACCCACTCCCCTGAAAGTTCTCATGTGAATCAAAGCAGACCCAATGCAAATGTCAGTGTGATCCAAGTTTATTACCAACATAAAAACTGTAACACTTGACTTCATAAGTATTCAGCACCACCAACACTGTTTAGTGAATGCTTCTGCTTGGGACCTAAACATGATATTTAGACTACTGGCACAGAGCCTTGAGCTTTTGCTTTGACCTTCTTTTATAAAATCCCAACCAGTGAAGCACTCACAGAGTATCCAGTCTCAGCCTCAGAGGTCAGGAATTGTTTCAGATTTATGCTTTGGTAGTGTGGCTTTCTTTTGTTTTCTTTGTTTTAAATTATTTTTGTCTAGCACAGTAATTGGTATTTAGCCATAGCATCAGCACAAATAAAGCCCATATGGATGATTAACACTTTCAATGTCTCCTCAACATTGAACAGCTTGATTCTCATAAGAAATTTATGCTTGCTTGAGGATGTAGATATGCTTATAGCTACCTGTATTATTTACTTTATGCTAAACATACAATAACAAACATCAGGGTTTTTTTGTTTTTGGGGTTTTTAGTTTTTTTGCATTTTCACTATGTCCAAATTAGCATGCTGACTTAGCTCAGTATGCTAACTTGGCTCAGCTCAGTTGTTAGTCTCATATTAGCATGATATTTTAGCATTTATCTCAAAGCACCACTGTGGCTTACCTCAGCAGCTAGCTTGGCTGTGTACAGTGTACTCTTTCTATCTTTTATTCACAATTTAACTGTACTTAAAGTAAGACTCTGACCCATAGCACACCTAAATTCACTTGTGCTGTCATATGGCTTCAAAAGTCTAGGCAGGCTTATTATTTAAATGACTTGACTTTAGGGTAACTCACCTGGAAAGTGGAACCTTTGGTGCATTGGAATGGTGACATGAAGACATAGGTATGGGAAAGTCTGGTGTCGGGGGTTTCAAGGGAATAAAGCCTCAGTGACACGGACCTAGTTACTCTCTGAATCATACTGAAACTAAAAAGTGTCACACAGAATTGAAATGGAAGAGTGGCCTTGGGAGCCCAAATGCATTGCAACTTAAGAAAACACCAGCAAATAGAAAAACACTACAAAAGCACACAAAACACAGCAGAAGTAGAAAAAGCACCATGAAAGCTAACAAAATACAAAGGAAGTGATTGAGAGCTGCAGCAAACGACTAACAGCAAACGTATCTACAGTATTATATGAATAATGTGAATACAGCACACATTACCTTCCATCTTTTTTTCCCCTCACAACACTGACTAATCCTCCTCTGTAAAAGTGTGGCTCAATCCTTTGCATGTTTTGTTTTCTGCCACTTCCACAGCTGTTCCATCATGTTATTGTCTCACTTCTTCCATTTTTGTGTGTATTTGTGCAGCATTTGCTGGTGTTTTGTTAAGTTGCTGTGCGTTTGGTCTCTCAGGGCCACCATAAAATTGAGGCATGTACCTTCAACCTTTGAATTAGCAGCCAAGAATTCTCCATTTCCAGTCTGCATCATACTTTCTTAAATTGTGCTACCTCTGAGCTTGTAGTTATAGCAAGGGCTTGCAGACAACTATGAAAAAAAGAATTCTATTAAAAACTACCAACACCAACAGGTCCAGTTTGGGTTAGTCCAATTTGCGCCATTGAGGCCTGGCAGTAAACAAATGGTTACAGCTGTGTCCACACACTGTAAAATCTAAATTTAAGCCTTCTCAGTATCCAAATGAAGCCATCCAGGTCAAATAGTGGATGGCTCAGATCCTCAGAGTCATATCTCAGAGTCTCTGAGATATGACTCTTTAGGCTGTTGTAGTCAG